TTTTCCCCCCACTGACACATTCGGCACTATTTTGCGAAAACGTACGCCTGAAACCGAAAAAAAGTAATCAATTCCGTTAAAGAAAAATTCACTGTACGCGGATATGTAGAACAAACCTAATCCAGAAGCCTAATTTCGGAGAATAAAGCCAAAATAGTAAATTGCGGAGCACTATCTGATTTGCCGCAGACTCTTTCGTCACTAAATATCGGTCACTCCTGGTTGAAATCGTAGAAAGATCGGCACACGAGATAAAGAAAAGCCTAGTTAACGTTGCTATATTGAAAAAATCTATTCGTAAAGCCTTATTTCCGAAGTATTTGTGAAAAAAGTAAACTGTGTAACACGATTTCAGAGGCATTTGTTCTTCCGTCACTTTATTTCACATTTGCACCTTCACTTTTCTCCATATGTGGTATGTTACCACCGAACGAATGTTAACGTTTATTTATCCTGTTCTTGGCAAAGTTCTCCCAATGTGTTAAACGTATGTTATGATCCGTTCGTATATATCACGACGATGTTGCATATGTGTTGAATGTTCCGAAATAATAACTAATACTGCAGATTATATTTCTTGAATATTTCTTTCGTCAGCTGCTGTATTTAAAAGACTGATCAATAATAACACTACTTCACGAAACATTTTGTTCAGGGACCGAAAGTTTCACTGTAAGGCGTGTAAATATTACTGCATCATGTGCTACCGACACGTTGGACACGTCGACTAGAAGTGTTCTGCGATTGGACGAAGCTATCCCTCATTTTCGCGGGAAGTTGCTTTGCTTTGAAATATCTGTGTGCTAAAGTATCGATGTAAAATATCAAATGATGTTTTTTATATTTATAAATATCAATGATAAAAACAATGTATGCAATAATTACCAATAACAATTTAAATAATAACGGATTCATATCCAGAATTATATTAGAAAGCTCGTTTTGCTTTTTGGTTGTAATTATAAAAGTTAATGAATTTATTATAGACGAACATAAAGTCACAGATGAAGATGAATGACTTTTTTCTTGGTAAAAAGGAAATGAAACTACAATGGTTATATGCTTAGGTACTTTCTATTCACTTTGAAAGTTTCACATATACACGTTAATTGTTAACAATATAATATACAATAACATATAGACATTAGAATCTGAGTAGTTGTCCGTATCACGGGCCGTTACGAGAAAAAGATGTTTCGTAATACATATCACGTAATAATTATCATTATAATGACCATATATATATGTACAATACTTATAAACATGTGATAAATGATTCTATTCAAATGCATGAGTTATCCTAATAATTCTTGATATCTCTTATCGTGCATCTTCTCGGCCTTCTCCTGTGCTACACTAATATGGAGTTTTTTATTTCCTATTCATTTTCCTTTATATTCTTATCATCTTCAGCATCACCTATTTTATAATTTTGTACATTCCTCGGTTCCTTTTTTGTATCTCTCAATGTATTTTTTATCCTTTTCTTCATTACTCTGAAAATATAAATATAAGAGACAGTCAATAAAAATTCCTACTTTCTATAACATAGTTATAATGTAAACAATAAACTAACACTTTCTCTTTCTTTACAACTTCTAATTCTTCTTGAGTTCTTACTTCGGCGTCACTTTCCCAATCGCTACTGCGGCCTTCCTTCCTTTTTTTATTTGCAAGTCCAGATGGTTCAACAGCTGTTTGCGAGCTTAATTTTGGATCAGTTAAATGATCATGAGCTGATTTGCCCTTACCAGTAAACTTTTTATTTAATATCACAGATTCTTCTTCATCTTCCTTTGCTTCTCCACCAAATGATAAAAGATTCAAATCTCTGTAACACAATTTTTCGCTGCAAAGAACAATACTATCAGGACTAAATTCTGCAGACATATATGATTTTTACTTTACTGCTGCTGTTTTTGAACTGTCCTTTACTTCTTCACTTCTTTGTACTGTTATTCTTGGTATAATATGAGAAAATGGATTGTTCAATATTATAGTTTTTATCAATCTTGGAGGATAAAGTGGTCTATCATTCTACAGCAAAAGGGGAAATATTATATTTATATCAATTATTGATATATTTTCTTGTAAACATTAAATTTACCTCATTTACAAGTGCTTCTTCGAGTTTAAGTATACTATATATAGATTCTCCAGTAGCTCTACCAGAAATTGTATGCTTATTCTGCAAATCTGGTGTAGAACTAAGAATAAAGAAGAGGGAACCATTGTCATCTTCTGCAGCATTAGCCATAACAATTAAACCTCGTCCACAGGAACGTAATCTTATGCGAAAGTCGTCCTAAAACACATATATCCAATAATTATTTTTGAATAAAAAAGTAATTCATTTTATTTTTAAATGTAGTCTCTCCATATATTCTATTTACTTTAAATGGTTCTCCATATTTCTTACCGCCTTATATTTCTACACATTTGTGCCTTAATGCCACATTTACACTCTATATTCAATTTATCTTTAATTTTTATAACTATTACCAAGCATTCTGCCTTCATCTCTACAATGATCCTTATATTTGCATGTCCAAGCCACGCATCCTTCTATGTTGATATATATGCTGCCCCTTTCCTGTTTCTTCATTTGACATAATATCTGTATCCTCTTCTCACTGCTATCATTTGAACCACTCTCTTTTTATTATATACCTCAGCTCCACCGTTCTGAAATATAACACATTAGTGCGGGTCACCAACATTTCTCTATATCAGAGCTTAGATTTAATTTTCTACATTTATCATTTAGCAACATTCAGCTATATATTCAATTTATTTTTACCTTTCATAACTATTACCAAGTATTCTGCCTTCATCTCTACAATGATCCTTATATTTGCATGTCCAAGTCACGCATCCTTCTCTATTGATATATATGCTGCCCCTTTCCTGCTTCTTGATTCAACATAATATCTGTATCCTCTTCTCACTGCTTTACTCGAACCTGCCTCTCTTATATACCTCAGTTCCATCATTCTGAAACTTAACACATTAGCAGTGATCATTGACTTTGACCACTGATATGAATATTTATTTAGATGAGGAATACAACATACCTTTCAATCTCACTGTGTTCTCTATATCTGGTTGTTACAAGAGGCCATCACCTAAATTAATTTTATTCCTTTTTATCTACCTAAGCCATCTCCATTTGTGAACCTATATTTGACCATCAAAGATTATTATCTTATATGGCATTTGGTTAGCCAACATAGAATCCAATAGAGTTATTATAACATATTTCTACCATTGCCTCAAATTTTTCAAGCTCTGAGATATATTCTTGACATCTCATGGCTCTATGCTGGTGATATTGCATGAGTCCAATATTTTTCTGCTGTTGCATGTGCCTGTTTATTTCAACAGAATATTTTTTTTTCACAACCAAGCTCTACTATCACTAATATAAGGTGAACAAATAATGGCTCATAACTAATACTATTTAATTACAACTGAAGGTTATGTTAATACTAAGACATATTTTTTTGCATGATGCAGACACACTTGCATGGGCACAACAATGTTTCTGGCGTTTGGTTGCAATTTTTTTTCATTTCCTATGCACTCTCCTGTTCACTTGGAGAAAAATTAACAAATCGCTTAATTTCTGTGTTTAATTTATTAACTTTTATAATTGCGTTGTAAAGGCGTATCTTTGCATATTTGTCGTCTGCCAGATAAAGAAATGAATGCTGATTGTCCAATTAGAGCTACTATTTGGGCTGAATTTATTAAAGAATGTAGAAAAGTTTATGGGATTCTTAAATGACCCAATCTGTCTGAGGTAGTTGTTTGTGATTGGCATCCCATGCATACTTGTCCCACCCATCCCTTTCTTACAGACATCGCTCCTTTATTATATCAACGCATAAACAGCCGTATAAGTTATATTATTCGTTAAAGAAATAAAGATAGAAAGAGACGAAGCTTTATTACAAAATATCGCAGTAATGGCGAACCAATGACACACATGTCAAATCAGAATTATTTATCTTTTACTTTTTCAATGAATAAATATATTAAAAATATATCTCATCTTTTTAATAAACCTACAGATAGCACAAAATTATGAATATTTTTGGATGTGAAAATTAGAAGATTAGAAGATTCCTTAAAAATTTGACACACCGGGCTCATAAGGTTCATTGTCACTGAAATATCGTAACAAAATGGTAGTTTCAAAATTTTTAAAAGTTCTACAATTTTTCAATGTTCCAGAACTTCTCGGGAATTTAAAAAATTTCAGATGTTTTAGAATTTTCGAAACTTTGAAAATTTTCTGAAACTTCAGAATTATTAGAAGATATAAAGTTTTCGGACAGTATCTTCTTACATTAAATCTTACATTAAAATTAAATCCAGCTCTTCAGACTTCTTTCTATATTGTATTCATTTCTTTAAACACCAAGCAGTTTGAAACAACGTTAACAAAATATAAAATACCAAAATTGCAACGCTAAAAAGCAGAAGAATAAATTAATTTTCAATTTATAGAAAAGAAGAATAATTTAAGAGGCAATGCTATCTTAGAGGATACTATCAATTCTTCATCGATTCTTCTACATGTTAGATAATAGAAATAGAGTATGTACGAAGACAGTGTGCAGCATAAATGCATAAATGCATTTTACGATGTAAATATAGGATAATAATTAGATCTCCTAACATGAAAAATTTAAAATTTTTAACGAATATATTAAATATTTATAAAAATCATCCCCAAAGCTTGTGACAGAAATTTTCATCTAAATATCTCAGTATCGCATCTATTTATATTTATTTTCTTTCCATCTTTTCATAATAATAATAATTCGACGTATAATAGCATGTAATAGTAAATAATAATAATCTTTCAAGGTTAAAAGCGAATAAATTTATAATATATAAATAATAAAAATATCAAGCTTATAAAATATCAGCTGTTCCATTTTCTTGTGAACGCTTGTGGTATCGAAAAAACCAATCTTATTTCGATGTTGCAGGACTTCGTTACTGGTCTCAGTATACTGTCTCGTGGTTCCATCGACGAGAAATTGCGCTGGACATTCTCCCTTTACGACATCAACGGCGACGGTTGCATCACGAGGGAAGAGATGACGGACATCGTGACAGCTGTATACGAACTGATGGGAAAATTTGCTGATCCTACTTTGGACCACGAGGGCGTACGTGAGAAGGTGGATCGAATGTTCCAGGTAAGAATTTTTTCCTACTTTTATTCATGTAAGAAATAAACGAGTATATATGAAACTTAATAATTAAGAAAATTCACGAATAACAACATTACATATGATTGACATTTTTAATTGGTTCGTTTTTCTGGTTTCTGTGTTTTAATCTGTATTTTAAATTACTATGACTATTATAATAAGCTAATACTAAAGTAAGTGAAACTAATTATGGGATACCAGTACTATAATAAATATCATAGTGTTATAGTACATTATTACTATTATTAGTAATACTAATATTACTATTATTATAGTATTATTAAAGTAAATAACTGAAATTGATAATTTTATATTATATATAAATATGAGTATTAATTATTAAATTATAACAAATCAGTATTGTATATAAATATACGTTAAACATACTGAGACTAATATTAAATATGATAAAATTAAATAAAACTTATTATTATAATAAAGTAAACGTTTATTCATAATTGTAGTGCTATAAAAATCTTATATTTTTTCGAGGGAAAATCAAATCTGTGGGAATATAAATTTACTTAAATTTCTTATTTTTATCACAGTATCACATGTTTAATTCCAATTTATTGTACACCTCAAGTTATAATTTTACATTTAATTGTATATTAATATAAAGTATAAAAACAAGAAGGCCTTTTTAATTAAGATACATGACAAACAGGAGCTTGAAATATTACATGTATGGTAATCAGAAATAAAAATATGATGAGCTTGTTCCATTATTCTCATAAAATATTATACATCCTGCTCATTTAAAAAAGTTCGAATATAAAATATAGAAACATTCGAATATAAAATATTATATACAACAAATACAAAAATTTGTAAGAAAATAAATGCATTTTAAATAAATATTTTGTTTAACATTTAACATAATTTAATATTGACTTTACGAATCTAAAGGAAAAATAATTTTTAAATGCATCGTGATAAATTAAGTTAAAAAAATTTTACAACAAGCCATAAATGTCAAAGTTTAAAATAAAACTGCATTACCATGAGACTTTCGAACAATCTGAAGTAACATACTGTCTCGAAATTCACTATCATATTAGAAAATGTTAGAATATGTAGGACATAATTCGACGTTTTGTCAGCTTTTATATATAGTACTCCTGTAATTTTCTCAATATGACATTACGGCTGTGCCATGCTCTATGAACAACGAAAGCATATTCGTTCCAAAGACCATCTGGCAATGCACCAGCTGCGCAGTCTGAGATGTATATGGAAATATTGTAAAAGAGAAATTGTGAAATTACTATACGTATAAGTTTCCCTTTATCATTCGTTCATCTTTTGAAAGGAAAAATAAATTGTTAAGCTCAGCGTTAAAATTAGGAAGGGAGGTAGATAGACATTTTAACATACATATTAGCTTTACACTCTGACCATAGTTAAATTGAAATGATACCGTAATAGGATATTACTAAGACTTTTTCATGTAAAAGTAATTGTGGAAGATTTATATAACAAATAATAGTTGATTCTTTATATAAATTTGAAACAACAAATAACTATATTCTACTGATATGTTCGTTTAATAAAATAGTATTGTATAAAATATATATTGTAAATTTTAAAAATAACTTTTAAAGTAGTCACGATAGTTATTATCGTGATAATGAATTAAAGATGAAGTTTTAGAAAATAGCTTAATATTTTCAAACTAATTAAATGCTTAATATTCTGTTTGATGAGTATTATAAAATTTTTAAATTTTAGTTAGTATGAGTTTTATAATACAATATTTAAAAGTATTTTAGATATTGAATTTTAAGTATGAATGAATGAATGAATTAATATCATTGAACATATTTTACAAAAAACTCGGATTCTTAGGAATTTTATCACAAAAAATTTCAAATCTTCCCTATTCTGTGTGCAAAATATTATAAAGGATGAAAATGACATTAAACATATAATAGAATTCCAATTTCTACCAATCCTATTACAAAACATTTCAATTCTTACCAATTTCATTTGCAGACTACTATAAAAAATATAAACGATAGCAATCATATTTCAAAAGATTCCAATTTTTATTTATTTATTTTATTTGTAAAACACTACAAAAGATGCAAATGACACCAAACATACAACATAATCCCAATCCCTACCAATCGTATTACAAAAGCTCTCAATTCTTAGCAATTCCATTTGCAGACTACATAAAAAATATAAACAATAGCAATTATGTTACAAAAGATTCCAATTTTTATTTATTTATTTCGCTTGCAAAATACTACAAAAGATGCAAATGACACCATACATACAATATAATTCCAATCCCTACCAGTCGTGTTACAAAAGCTCTCAATTCTTAGCAATTCCATTTGCAGACTGCTATAAAAGATATAAACGATAGCAATCATATTTCAAATGATTCCAATTTTTATTTATTTATTTCGTTTGCAAAATGCTACAAAAGATAAAAATAACACCATACATAATATAATTCCAGTCCCTACCAGTCCTGTTACAAATGATCGCAATTTTTACCAATTCCATTTGCAGACTGCTATAAAAAATATAAACGATAGCAATCATGTTACGAAAGACTCCGAGTCTCATCAATTTCACCTGCAGAATACTGCGAGAGACGTAAACAATACCAGTCGCATTACGGAAGATTCCGTTTCTTCCCATTTTACAGAGTTGCATCGAGCAACTTAACCCATATACCTGACAATTAATTTGTTCAATTGAAACGCCAGCATATTACGACAGCTGGGAAATGGAAGAGCTACTCGATGATCTTTCGTTGCAGAACGTAACAATAGATGGAAAGTTTCCACAGGTTTTGACAAGCTTGTTCGTTCACTTTGACGAAGGAAAACGAGTGCTCGTAAAGCACCCAGTCGACTTCAATGATGCAAGAAAAAGCCTTTCTTTTTAGCGACTGTCACATTGTTAGCCGCGAATGACAATGTCTGCGATGATGTACTCATACCCCTTTCTATGTTACCTTTTTCCTACGTCGAATAAAAGACGACGCGATTCGTTTCACCGAGACAATTTGTGCGAACATCCCATACCTTCGATTTACCAGAAACAAGCTCCTGTTATCCTCCATCTTAAAACGTACTCGAGGTTTCAACTACTTTTTCTTTTTCCTTTTCAACCGAGAAAGGAGACTGCACACAATGATAAACGCGAAGAACAATGCTACTGCCATCCTTCTTCTTATCGAATTTTCTTATCGATGGGAATAATATTTGATATAAACGAACAATTGTTTAAATTCATTATTTAACATAAGGCATTGACACTAAGAAAAATTTGGGATATTATGATTACAATTATAATACAAAGATTAATTACTTTTTAATATTAATATCACAATTAAAGAATAATTTATTTTAATATCAATATTAAAAAATAATTAATTTTGATGGTATTAAAATTTTATATTTTAATATTTAGCAATATTGTTTTAATTTTAATATTATATTAGTTAACTCTTTTACATTTTTAGGAAAAATAAGATTGGATTAAAATTAAATTAAAGAATGGAATATTGAAATAATTATGATCGGTAAATAGTTTGCTCTTATTTGTAGTAATATAGTAAGTTTTGTTATTTTGAAGTATTAAAAAATGATTGTTGCACGATATGGAACTACATAAAATAGTATATTGAAATATTTTAATATTACTTGTCGACAAAGGTGAACTTCCAAGCTATTTATCATATGATATCTATATATATATATAATTTGGTCTAACTATAGTTTCGAAACTGTTGGAAATAGAAAAGTGTGTGGAGAGTAGAGTTAGATAGTTTCGAGTAACGTACTATATGATGGATGAAACTTTCCCAAAAGTGAAAGCGTTGTATGAAACTGAAATTAAACTTCTTTTAATCAAATACATGTTTGTGTATTCACTTTTTTAATGCATTTTTTCGTTTTATTGCGATATATTTTATTAAACGATATTAACTATTCTAAATTTGTAACTACATTAATTTTGAAATTCTATATAATATATTAATTCGTACATATAATCAAATATCACTTATAACACATTGTAACAAATTAAAAGGATACACAAAAAATTTTGTGCAATACAATGTTCAACGTTTCTTAATTTAAAAACAAAAAAAATCGTCACAAACAACAAAAGCTTCTTACTAATAAATTCACATGCACGATAAATCTTTGATATTTATAAAAAGAAAAACCAAACCTAGGTAATTATAATCTAGAAGTAGATGAATCTTGAATTACTGTCATCCTAATCATCCTAATCAAATTGTCCTCAACAGGACCCAGATCAACCACACAGATATTTACGAATAATTTTTTAATAATACATCACCACGTTACTATAATAAGTATCAGCTTCCCTTAATTATTAAACACTTATTTTCTCTTTATAAAGAATATGAAAACGCTCAAAAGTAAATAAATCTTCCTAACTCATTAAAATAAGCTTCTAGTAACATAGAGAATATTATAGGGGTAAAATATTACCCTCAAATTTACCCAAAGTAACAAACTACTCAATATATCCATATAAATATTATTAAAAATAGATATTAACAATTATAAATAAATTAACATGTTAATATGTTAATGTTAATAAATAAATATTAATAATTAACGTTAATCGCCATTAATTACTGTAATATTATCACGAAGTTATATTAAATAAATAAAAATGGAAAAAATTCAGAGAAGAATACAAAATTTCTCGAAACGCAAATTCTCAAAGCTCAAAACTCGAAATTGTATAATATTTCCAATTTCTTTCCAAGATTCTGACATTTTGAAAAACTCGGCTGAACATCGGCAAAATTTCAAAATATCAAAATACTTACGAATCTAATATGTCTTGAAATTTGACTTTATCCAACATAGTTCACACTCTCGCTGACAAAAATGACAAAAATGACAGTAAAATTGCAATAAGCGAATAGAAATCGTTTGAAATGGACTACTTCTGTGACTCACTATAGCGAATCGATCCAACCA